ATAATATATTCTATCACCACAACCAGTTCTTTACTTTTGTAACTTCACATCTATATATTTGAATTTTTTATTGAACGTAGAATAAACTAACTTGTTCATTCAACCAATAACCTAAATTCTTTTTCTTTGTATACAATTGGTTGAATATGCTCCAATTACACTCATATACAGAAAACGAACAAGTAAGACCGAGAACTTTCATAGAAAAAACTTTAGATTGACACATTATCTCCAAATTGTGCCTACCAACATTCTAAAATGAAATTATTAAATTATTAACATATATTAAGGTAAGAAGCTTAAATATGAATCATAAACTTCTAGATTTAAAAATATAGGTAAATCAAATTTGCCTGGTGAGCATGTCACGTAGCATGCTTATGCTTGTCTAAAATTCAATTTCATTCTTCAAACAAAAATCTTCAAGTTGATAATTAGTTTTAAGATGGTTAGCCTAAGGACAAGTCTGTTCATAAGCATATCAGCCAATTTTACCTCCTAATCCGCATTAAAGCTATGGTTATAATGAAATTAGAGATTCAAATATGTAAAAAAACATACAAATATCGATGTAGCTGACTATCCCATTTTTCATCAATGATTGCTAATAATTCTTTATAGTCGTTTTTGTCCTCCTAAATCTCTTGTTATTTCCTCATTTGATTTCTTCATAGCTTCATAGATATATCTTATTGTTAGAGCCACTTCACCTTCAACCATTCACAATACATTCACTAAAAGCACCTGATATTCAGAGCATAATTAACACAATGATGAAGAGTATCATCTTTCATAATAATCTTTTTCACTTATTTTCCTTCTAATTTTATAACTTTTATCCCATTCTTCAAAAGCACACATGATCTCCAAGATTGTCATGACTTTAAATTTTTATAAGATCAGATAAACCAGATTTTAATGACTGATCAGATAAGTTTTTTATCTATAATAAAAAATCTTTTAATGACTGATCAGATAAGTTTTTTATCTATAAATTTTTCCATCAAATTTAATATATATGAATTTTTATAAATAAGTTTGATAACTACTTTTTATTTTGAGCAAAACAAATTTATATTATGGCAACTATCCCAACTTCTCAACCACTAAATTAAGTTAATAAATAACACATTAAGTCTAGTAAAGTTGATTGCACTTGAACAACTACACGCACAAACATTTCTGCGGTACTTTAGCTGCTACAATACCGTGGAATTCGCTATCATGGGAAACGACCTGAAATAGTCCCATTTTCCTTTATTATACTTTCTTTCCTATCATCCTTCATTAATTTTTAGTCATTTCCTATATATGTGTTATTTTTGGGGTTTACAAGGGAGGTTTTATCGTGTTTCTCTTTAGGTCAGTCGTTGACAGGGATATTTTTAGTCATTTCCTATATACACTCATATTTTATCAGAAGCTGAAGAATGAATTGTTCGAAAGGGATATTTTGATCTTCATTTATATTCACAACAAATATATCAACTAGTTGTCGAGTTTTTTATCAGAAGAAAACAAATGACTTACAATACTAGAACCATCATATTGAGAAACAAAATAAAAGCTATTCTCAATCATTTCTTTCATTTTTCTTTGCGTAGTTTCTTTCGAGCTGTCATACTTTTTAAATTTTCAACCCATTTCTTTTCATTTCATCTGACAATTTCTCACATGCTCCAACAGTTTATATGTGTACAAGCCAAGTGATCTTGAAGACCCTATGTCACAATATTACATTTCAAGTAATATATCCTTGATTTGCACCTTTCCTAACATTCAACTTGAGTGTCATATGTTTCCAAACTGGATCTTTTCTTTTTGCAAATGAACTTAATAGTCTAATAGTTCTCATATAAGAAATTCACATGTGGGAAAAAAATAACTACAAATGAAATAATCATAAATTGTGAAACTCTTGCAATCAAACTCACACCTCATGCTATACCTTATTAGAATTGCTAAATCTAGCAAGTGCAAAAAGCTTTAAACAAAATTCATGTTAAACATAAAATATGAATCCTTAATTAATAATATTAAGAAAATTACAAGCTAATAAACATATTTATGAATGAGGACTATCTTAGATGTCTCACATTGTATCAAATTAACATTACAACTTATCAAAAAAAAAATTATCATGAATCTTAGCATTACAACTTCTTCTTTATTTTTTGAAGCTTATTAAAACATAAACTAGCTATTAGGCCAGATTGAGTTGATATTGTTTAGTATTTAGGAAAACTAGTGCTCGCTAGTTGTTACCAAACATTAGGTACTTAAATGCAAGTGACAAACATATCTCAGGTCATCTAAAGCACTTAAACAAAGCGTTGCAATTCTAAGCAACATATGAAATTATTATCCTCGACTGATTAATTGGATGACTTTGAGAGAATTGCTTGTAAAAATAAATGAAACTAGACTACAAATTACTAAATCCATAACAATAACAGCAACAATAACAAAAGGTGAATAAAAAATACACCTAAAACCTAAACCCAACACATAGAGATAATCATAACAAAAACACAAACCTTTCGTCATATGATCATCAATGTAAGAATCTTTTAAACAACATAATAAAAAAAAATCATACATAAGAAAATATTAAAAATTCTATAAGAGGAATCCTAAGAAAGTAAATTTATATTCAAGCGAGAAAACATTGTGGAAGATGATGGCAAAAAAGAGGAAGTGGAGAAAGGGAAGATAAAGGTGAAAAAGAGAGACACCAATCAACGACAAAGAAGAATACGAAGCTCTGTAGAGATGTCTTTGTCAGTCAAGTCTATGAGGTTTAAGCAAACGGGCTTGTGACGAGAATCTGATGCTCGACAGAGATGAAGCTAGAACCCTAATCTCACATGATGGTTGGTCGCGGTGTGTTGTGTGTGCAATATAAGAGTCTAATAATAGATAACATCTATTAATAATATAAATATATAATATAATTACAAAAAAGGGGTGTTAACTCAAGTGCCTCAACATGTAAACCTTATCACTAAAAGGCTTAAGCCTGGTCCGCACCAACAAGGCATAAGCCTCAAGATGCTCCTCCTGCACCTTGATTGAAGGTGCTCCACTAGAATACTTTTTTAAAAAATGCACTAGAGTATGAGAGCAAGTTTCTCCATGTTTGCAAAAATTTTTATTTATCATGATTTAAATTAGAAGGATAGAGCTTAGCATATGCATCTAATGTTTTGTATTGATTGTCACATCTACTCATCAAAGTTTTGAAAATTCGATCGAACTGGCCAGTTCAACCGTGAATCGGTCATAGGTTTGGTTATGGTTCATGCATAAACCCTCCCCCACATCAAACAGTCTAGAACAACCTCAAAAGGCTGCATTGAGCAACAACGCGACAAATCAGTGTCAATTCAAAAGAATTGGCTGATTCATTTAGGTTAATGTCTGATTTGATTCAACAACAAAAAATTTTTCAGAATTAATTAAATAATTTTATCAAAATCCTTGATATAATAACCTATAAAATTGCAAAACCATCCCTCTAAATTCTCTATTCACTTGCGTGAGGACCTCTATGCTCGACTACATTGCTATCGTTTTCAATTGGTTCACCGTCTCCTGGTCGGCCACTCATTGTCTGTTCACCGGCCATTCATCGGTGCAACTTCCCTCTCTTTTTAGCCAAGTTATTAGGTATATTTACATTTATTTTCCAAAAAATACATAATGTTTATTTTTTGAGTCCCCGCTCTCTATTGTCCTCTTCGATTCTTCAATTTTTTTCTATCTCGTGTATAGTTGAAGAGTTGAGCCTAAAGGGGTGTTAAGTAGCTCAAGTGTGACTTACGAGGGTTCCAAACGGCTCTTAGATAGTGAGGGTGACGGTGAGGATCAGGGTGAGGGTGAGGGTGAGGGTGAGGGTGAGGGTGTGGGTGTGCAATGACTCGGCAATTAGATTTTGAACTCATTCAGCCTTTGATTGTCATCCTATTGTGACATTTGATGTTTCTAGGTTAAAAGCCATTTAGACTATTTTTCATGGAGGGTGATGTTTAGTGTAATCATAAAGAAAATATTTAGCAAGAAAGATATTCTTATTCATAAAAGCAGGATGACATGGATAAACATGTGCTTCCGTTACTTGGGTTTTTTAACTGATGATATATTTTTTTTTGTTCAAACAATATTTGGTGTAGATCAATTGGCATGTTTTGATTTTTGAACAATTTTGTAAAGTTTGCATTTTATTGGAGTGAATTGTTCGCTATTTAATGTGGGAATTTAAAGATTGTTAAATTGATTAATAACTTTTTAAATATCTCTCTTTCTATTTTTTTTCCATCTGTTTATAAAAAAGCAAACCAACATAACAAACATGCGAAATGAAAGGGGAAGAAAAATAGAAATTTTAAAAATAAGAATAGAGTTGTAATAGCAATGCAAAGAGTTGAAAAATAAAATTAATGAAATTAAAATGCTTAGTGATAGGGTGATTACTATTAAGATAATTATTAATAGGTTATTATAATCTCAGTTAATGCTTATGTTCTTCAAATTGAGTCAGAAGATTATTTAAAACAAGTTTTAGGAGGAGATAGATGAATTACTTGAACATAAATGAAGAGGGAAAAGTGATTTCGGGCTAACTGGAGAAGCAGCAAATGAGCGAAATAAAATGAAGAGAGGATTGCATGAGCCTCGAATTGAACCGATTGAAAGAGAAGAAGATGAAGGATACGTCAATTGCTAATTTATAAAAGAAATCGACGCCATATCAGAGTCTTTTCGCTGCCCTGATCACGAAGAAAAATAAGCAAAACAACAAGGGTCGTCGAAATCAAGGGCCTCTAGAAGAATGGAGTCTCAAATCAACCAATTAGTGTCCCAATCAGAGAAAAAAAAAAAGACAGCAGAGGAATAGCGGTGCACCCACTCTAATTACACTTCAACAACCCTGAACCCTAAAAACTAAACAAACTCACCATTCAAGAAAATGAACTAAAAAATTCAGTGAGAGGACCAACCAATCATCTTGGCGATGAGCTTCAGCTCGTCCTGGGCCTCCTCAATAAGTTCCTCGACCTGTCCGCATCCGATACGCTTCTCAATCAGCTCCCAGTCCACCTCCTCCTGGCAGACTTTGAGGCGGTGGCTGGTGAAGCTTTCAACGGCCTTGCGGTATCCTTCATCCTCCGGCACGGCCTGGATCTCCTTCAGCGTTCGAGTGTATAGCGATATCAACACCTCTCGGGCGTTAGGCACAACCTCAAGCCCCACGATTCCCGTCGTCTCCTTCACCTTCGCCATCAACATCGATCCCATTCCCCCAGTGAGAATACGCCGCAGGAACATCTTTACCCTTCCCCTCTCTCGCTCTCCAGTTCTCTCTGTGTTGCGTCACGAAGAGATCTGCAGTCCGAGGCTGTAAATGAAGTGATGCACGAGCTTTGCACATATGTACGGAGTGGAAAAAATTTAACAAATTTTGAGAAATCTCATATAAATAAATAGAACGGCTCCCTTTCCAATTACAATAAAGATTACACTTGTAATTAGTCATTGGACTCTGTTGATAAAAGTTGATAAGATGGGAAGCATGCTAAAGATTCATTGTTGTAGAATAAAATATTATCATCTTAGTATCTTATGAGAATCTAACACACACTCAGATAAATAAATAATCAGTAGAAACATAAGATGTTTTCACGTGAAAAACAGTTAAATGGAAAAAATCACTGTGTGTTGCCCAGTTAAAAATATTCTACTTTGAGTTGGTGATTACATGTACAACCATTTATCTCAAAAGCGATAAAAGTTTACACAGTTTCTCGAGTTACAGCATTCGTGAGACGAAAAACTCATTGCTCTCAGATCCTCTATCAACATACAAAGTCAACTAAGACAATATTGTAGGAGAAAGTGGTTGCTCGTCGAAGCAAGGTATGATGCACTCAATCACAAAGTCAACCAGTACTTATGACTTGAAGTTTAGTCAAGGTAGATAGTGAATGTCAAACTCTCCTAACCATTTAGTTAATCTTCATGATGCTTTGTACCTTTGCAGAATAGCTTTTAGATAGAGTTGTGTGTAGATATTGATGGTATGAGCATGAAAGTACGAACATAATCTCTTGCTGAGAACACAAGGCTAGCTTAGTCCTGCCTGCCAACAGGTAATGACTCTCCATGTCTGAGAGGATCTTACTGACATAATAGATCACTGATTAGACCGAGTTTTCCTCCATGAATAGAATAGAGCTTATCACGTGAGGTGAAATAACCAGATATATATGTAATACCTCCTCTTGGACGAGCTTAAAAAGGAGGGGCGCTAGTTTCGATATGTCTCAAGTTGCGTGAATGCAATTTGAAATTTATATGTACACTAAAAATCTAAGATTCCAAAAACCTCTCAATATCTTAAAGAATAATATGTACTTATCTTCAAAATGGGTCGGGAAGCGGGACAGGGCAACTATGTGACCTTTTAAGTGTTGTACTTCCTTACTATTCCTTGGGGGCACCATATCTCTCAGCGCCTTGAAGTTCCCCATATATTTTTTTAAATTTTGATATGAGTGACGATGAATCAAGAAACTTTCCCGATGTGACTTTGAAGGTGCATTGAACTGGGTTGAGGCGCATGTCATAACAATGAAGAAGCCAGAAGCACCCATCCAGATGAGAGATGTGTTGGGATCCTTCCAGTCTATCATCAATGTATACCTTCCTTGTGTATCTGAGGAGATGTTTGAAGACCTTAGTTTTGTTAGTTTGTGCTTAATTAGTTCTGCCTACATTTTTATGTCATAATTTGTTGGATTTATCGGTATGCTCTTTAAATATAAATTTTTCTGCCCCAATTAAATAATTCAAATCTATTTTTTTAAAATTAAAATTCATAACCAAAATAAAAATAAAACAATATATTACATTCATACCTTAGGGCATCATGACATTTAAACAACAAAATTGAAATAAAATTAAAATGAAGAGAAAAATTTTTTTGATTTAGGAATAGTCATGAATATATCATTTTCAGCTTATACATTCATATCAGCTGTTTTTCTTCTCTTCATGACCTCATTCATTGCATAAAATGAGTGATACGTACTTTAAGGATCATCACCTTATAAAGTGAGTTTGCCTAAGCATACTGATTGACTGACTTGTAAATTGATCTTCCGAGCATTCAACTTCAATAACAAGCATATTCGTACACAACTTGCTTTATTACTTGACACCATAAGTTAACCAAATAATAAAATATTTGAGTGTGGTGAGCAATAAATACTTTTAATTTTAAAGTACAAAAATATGTTCGCATTAATCTCATAACATTTCCATACCTTTCATATTTACACATCTTGATTTTATAACCAAATTGTAAGACCTAAATTCTTTAATAAATAATATATTATCCTATCACACACTTCACAATACACATGGTTTTACTACGATTAGGTGGGCGTAAATGGCAACTCTTTCCATGCAGGGTTCAAAGCCCAGTCACTTTGGGCTTGCTCGATCCTTTATTAGATTGGACTATAAGTCTCTTTGTTTAATGTATTTTTTTTCTCTCTTTAGACTAAGTTTTGAGGTTTTACTTCTTTCTGTAAGCTTCACCTTTAGTATTAGGATTTCAAGATTGTTGTTTAGTTACAATATAAATCCTCATCTCCTGACATTATCAAAATTTTATATCGTGAGATATAAGTCATAACATTTTAATAAAATTCTAATTTGAACAATAAATATCTCTTCAATTCCAAATTAGTAAAGCTAAATAATAGAATAAATAAGTTATCATTAAGTTTCTCAATATCTTCAACACCTTTTGCTTTTCTTCTTTGGGTTATGAAATAAACTGTTTCATTTTTTAGCTTTCCCATTTAAAATAATCAATAATGAAAATATAAATTTTTGAAATTCTTGAAGATAAAATCACAACTTTTATTGAGAATTTTCTTAAGGAATATAATTTTTTGATGGTGATATTGATGGGGATGTTATTAGTATAATTCAAGTTGGTTGGTTGAATTGGAGGAATGTTTCGAGCCTACTGTTTGATAGAAAAGTACCGCTTATACTAAATGGAAAACTCTATAAGATGATGGGGAAACTTGTAATGCTCTATGGCACAAAAAGTTGGCCTTTAAAAGAAAATCATAAAACTAAGTTAAGCGTTGCCGATATAAGAATGCTTAGGTGGATGAGTGGATTTACACTTACAAACAAAATGCAAAATGAATATATTCGTGATAGGGTTGGTGTAGCTACTGTGACAGAAAAAATTAGAGAAAGTCGTCTTTGATGGTTTGGGCACATTAACATTAAATGTCGGCCATCTGATGATCCGTATAAGAGAGTAGATGTTTAGATTCGACTTATGTTAAGAAAGACAGATGTAGAACTAGAAAGCCTTGAGCATATTGTATATAAATGATCTTAATTTATTAGAATTAAATGAAAATATGACACTCAATAGAATGCAATGAAGAAAAAGATTCATGTAGGCGACCTCACTTATTGTGATAAACACTTGTTGTTGTAAATTACCATAGGGGCCTTCTCCTGTAGTAAGTTAGTAACCCAACTTAATTGAAACTTTATCTAGCCTTCAGATTAGGTAAGAAAAAGATTTGTTCGTTTAAATGGAGTACTGTCAAATGTAAAAAAAAAATTAGTTTAAATAATTGAATCTAGAATGTGATTTTTCTAATTTTTGAGTTGGTATATTACCTTTAATGTTGTATATGATTATTTAAATAATTAAATAATTGACATTTGTATGGTCATATCCACCAATTCAAAAGAAGCTATATGACCTACATGGTTAATCCTCCCATTATAAGAATCCAAGGAAAGTATTTAAAATTTTTTTACTGCTTCAGCTTAAACAATCTCTTTTGAAAATGCATTCTCAGACAACCTTATTCTTCTTCTTTTCCTCCTTATTTCTTCATCTTATGAGAATTTCGAGGTATCTTCTTCAGGGACATATACTTCATCATCATCATCTTCTTCTTCTAGCATGGATTCGGGTGTCTCCTTTGCTTTGTCCTCATAAATCCTTCTTTCAGTGACTGGCTTCATTGTGATTCTCGTCTTCGTATTGTTGATCCCAAATATCCCTTGTGGCTTTTAGGATGATTATAAGATTGATTCCTTGAGGCCACTTGTCTCACTTCTTCTCATTGTCTTCATATGCTCTCTTAACTCATTCATCTGTTGTAACACAGTCTATGATGCAATCTATTGTTTGTTTTCGTCCTCCCTCATATCAAAGATCTCCTTGCTAGATTAGAGTTTGAGATCCATGCTCACTCTATTTTTCTGGATGTAGACTCTTATTATCACATAGTGTCCTTTAGAGTTCGTGAATCCATATAATTTAGGAGAGACCTTATGAGATGAGTTAATGAGATGGAAAGCTATAGGGTTCCACGATATGTCTGTCACTCATGATTGTAATGATTCCTCCTCTCTCCTTTTCCTTTCCTTTTATTTTGTATCTCATCAAGTGTGCTTACCCTCGTGGAGTTGCAAAAAGAAAAGAAAATAAAAAATATGTTATATTTTAGGTCATACTGTATGAAGTCTATTAATATTTTTTGTTGAAAATATATCATCATAGATGTCAGACGACTCATAAATGGGCATGTATAGTGATATGTCATAGTATTCTTTATTTTGTCATGCATACGACCTTGAAGAATCGATAAATGATCTCAATGGTGAAGCTAGAGATGTGCAGACGAGCTCAGGGAACAAACTTAATGAGTATAGGTGATCTTCGCAGAGGAGCTTGATGTGTTCGGGCAAGCTCGACAAAGGAGCTTGCTAGTTCGTCAGGTCTGCTTCGAGAGATAATTCTTGTGGTCATCACTTCAATGGATGTCATCGATGACTACAATAAGATAACGAAGAGCAGACTTCAGGTGAACGATAAAAATACCCAATCCAATAAACCCAAAAGACCCACTCTACATATGGCCTTCCTCGATAGCTTATAACACTCATTTTTTTGGATGTACAGTACCAATTTTCTACATGCAAAGATAGAGCCATGTCTGAGGTCAAAATGGTGTATTATGGTGGAAATTATTGAAGCTAATCTTTTCCCCGAGTTAAATTAAAATTTTACTTGTAGCATTGACTACAATTGGCTGAAAGATAGAATCACAAGAGAAATAAAACTTCTATAAGTTCTTCTTACATAAAAGTAGAAGTCTTTTGAGACAATAATTTTACACCCACATCCTAAACTTTCCCTATCATCCCCTATTTTTTGGAAACGGTAGGACAATCTTCTATAAGAACATGTACATTTAGAGAAAATACATCAATTATACAATACAAACTAATGATGGTCTGCCATAAAATAGAGATACAATAGCTATCTTATCTTAATTATCTTAGCCGTTTCTATGGAGTAGTTTTCTCATCGTGTTAATTTTCAAATCATTGC